TAATAATTTGGGCGGAATTTTCTTCCTCTGAATCACTGAGGAATTACCCATGGCTTCGACGTGGGAAACTGAGTCGCAACAATTGTTTCTTGCTATTAATTGCCAACTCCCGACTGCAAGTCGCATATCAAAAGCATAGCCAAAAGGCTTGAGAAAAGAATTCCAGGCATTTGTCTTCTTCACGCCAGAATGGAGAGGGACAGGTAGTTGGGAGGCATCGGGCTGGTCGCTAATTTAGCAAAACTAAAGCGGAATGCCAAGACAAGCTCCAGTTGAAAAATGCAGAGTCAACCAGGCAAGACCAACTCTAGCGCTCATTTCTGTTCTCTATTAGCGGATGGAGGCATGCCACCACCCAGCTCAATTATATGTATTTGCACAATTCACAATTAACGTATCAAAATCTGTGAGCTAAACTAAATCTAATTACCAAGCCATGGTCTAGAGACAGGCAAGACAACCTAAATAAAGTAGACTGAGACTGTAACGAATGCGGAGTGCTCTATTTATAAATGTAACATGGAAACAGAGTTTTTTTGACTCAAAAGTTGTAAAATTTATGGCATAATAGGTATAGGTTAGTCTTGTATCCAAAATGTTTCGGAATTTATATATAAATAAATGCTTATGATAAAAAATAAACATAGTTCGTTGTTACTAGAGTAGTTTTTAGGGACTTACAAAATTAGAATTATTTATATACATAAGAATCATTTATATATTTTTGATATTTTTAGAAAACCTTTTTATTGCAATCCTTCTAAGAGATTCACTCTGAAATTTTAATGTTTGGGAAACCGGCTAATAGGAGAGGGTAAATGGATGTAGAGCTGGCTGAGCTTGAGACTGAGCCTACATTACATTCAGATCCAGATCCCCAGGGGCGGTCAGTGGCGGCAGTTTTCTGCGCTACTTCCGACAGCCGCGGAGACCTGCAGCTCCGACTTGGAGCTGGAATCGTAGTTGGACTTTGGCTAAATGCTCCGATGGCGTTGGCTGCCATTTGTCAGGCAGCAGACCGCAAAATAGTTGCACTCACTTCTTTCTTGGTGCTGTGGCTGTTTTTTGTTTTTTTCTTTTTTTTTATTTATTTTTATTTTTTTTGTGCTCTCCCGCTTGACGTGATAATAAGAGCGATGAGGGGAGTTAAGGAACCGCAGGCTCAGAGACCGAACCCCATACCATAGCATAGTGTGAGAACTGCTGCCGCTTCTCTGGCCCAGGTTTTTTGCCCGTTTTTCGCTAGTTTTCGCGTGGAAAATAAATACCAATCTACATAAAAGTGGAAACCAAATAAGAAAAACACAGTCCGTTTGCTGGCCATTTGGGAAGAAGGAAAAAAGGAAAACCTGCTCCTGTCTGCCTTCTATTGAGAGCGGCCAGCAACTCGATGGCAGAAGGACCAGGAGCATGGTCGGTGGGCGGGGTAAAAGCCAAAAGAAGTGGACAAAAAGCGGTGGAAATAGAGCTACAAAACCGCAGTTTACTAGAGGTGGTACTAAATTGTGAACAGGTACACTGTGCAGTTATGAAATAGTTGAAGTACAAAGAGATTGAATAAATTATATGAAATGCTTAACATTTTATATTTCTTAAAAATATAATAGTTTTGATTTAATAGAAATTAACTTGTAGTCAATATATAACAACGAATGTAGTTTTCCTGATCATTTGAAGCTTGATTTCGATTTCCTGATTCAATTTGCATATTTATAAAGAATTAATTTTAAATGTATGTTTTTTAAGTACTAAATATATATATGCTATATTTATATGGCTACTTCCTCGTGACTCCCGCGATCATCTCCAGCGGACAAAGGCTTGCAATGGGGCAACTGGGCAGCTGGACTGGGATGTTTTGCGGTTACAATTTAGAGCAGAGGCCGGGCCCCAGTCTAGTTTTGATGAAATTGCTCGAAATAATAGGGTGAAAATGCTTTGGTGCTGCGCTGCTTTTTCTGCTTTCTGTGCTTCGCCTTTTAACTCTTTCGCGCTTTTGCTGTGAAAGACCGAAAAGGCGTTCGCTGAGCTGAGCTCAGCCAAACAAACCCCTTAACTTCTCCAACCCGAAAATGTTTGGCACAAAAGTCTGAGTTCAACACGCACAGTTGAGTTTCGTTTTTTCTTTCCTTTGCTGTTTTATTGCGAAAAAAAAGAGAAATAAAATACAAAAAGTGGGTGAATAAAACCGAGTGAAAGATTTGTGGTGCAGTGGGTTCCATTCGCACACTTCTTTTCACTCTGTGTGAAAATTGGGTCTGGTGTTTGGAGTTTGACTTGACAAAGCTGAGATTTCATTGTGGTTGCCATATGATTTCTGCACGAAAGCGAAGCAAATGCATTCCAACAATCATATTTTGCTATGTGTGGAATCCAATTAGCGATTCGTTGTGTGAGAAAACGAGCAGATCACATTCCAAGCTCACAGAACTTTCATTGAATGAAGTTGTCAGATATCAAATAGGATTTTTTTTAGATATATACATTATTTTTTGGTCGGCTATTTTATATTCTCTCAATTTGGGGTTTTCTTAAAATGGTCTAAAGCTTAGAATAATATACATTTTAAATGATACATTGTTTTTTAATTTCTCGAAAGATTTTCATTTGGACTTCCAATATTGAAATATAAAATTCATAACAGAGATAACGTGATTGTATTTTTGGATTTTGTTCCCTGTCCACATTCATCACATGAAACATTTTTCTTTCTATAAATACTGAATAAATTGGAATATAAATGTTATATAAATAAAGGCAAACACCGCTCGCTGCTTTAATTGAGTCGGCTGTCCACAGCGGATATAACAAAGGGATAAAAAACTCAAGACGGTAGAGCGTAATAAAGAATAATCCGCAAAAACCCAAAGCCACTCGCCGCCAGCCCTTTCAAATCAATTACTTTAATCAATTTTTAACACGTTTGCGCTTCTTCGCACCCAGGGCGCCCACCTCAAGCTGGCGTTTTTCTCTGTTTTTGCTAAAATTTTAATTATAAAGATTAAATACGAGCACAATGGGCAAGGAATGGGTGGCAAAAAAAAGGCAAACTAACCTGCCATAACAAACTTAAAATAATATTAAAGAATTTTTATTGAAATAATAGCAGGCAATGCAGGTTGGCGAAGAGGGGTAGGTAGATATAGATATAGCTGCTAGAGCTATAGCCACAGTCGCGGTTCGTCAGTGTCAGGCGAACACAACTTCAAAGGCGGGGAATATTCCATGGAACTGGGAGTTGGAGTTGGAGATGGTGATGGAGATGGAGTAGGAGTTGAAAGGGGGCTCCACTGATTGGGGGCGACGACAGGCTGTCGGTCCGAGGTTTCTTCAGTCTGCCGTTTCGCCGCTTTTTCTAATTGAAATGTTCCGCACCATATTTCTCTACGCTTTACCACCTGCTGCTCCGCGAACGGATGGAACGGATCCCCTGGCTCCCTTTGCTAAATAGTTCGCTCCGGTTCTGAATAGCCGTCTCTGGGACCCGCAAATTGCAGACAAACCGCTGGAACAGCTCAGTTCGCTAAAAACAAAAAAAAAAGGAGAAAGAAAACAATGCACTGGCCAGCGAGCATCCAACCATCCGTGGGCCATCGTTATGCTTCCTTCATTATCAACGCCAAGTTGAGCCCGTGATGATAAAGGCAGTTGAGGGACTCAGTCCGATTATTTTTCAGCACTTTGGCCATTTTCGTTTAGACGGTGATACTTGGCAATACACTTCAGCAGGTAGGTTTCGAAATAGTCTTCGTTTTGACGGGATTACTCTTATTTAGACATTAATATTGAAATATAAGCATATTAATATTAAAATATACTAGCAAAACATATATTTGTTATAATATCAAGTCTTTATTTTGCATCACTGCCTTCACTACAATGTATATATAACTGAATTTAATGGATTTAAAATCTTACAAGCTAGAAAAATATTCTGTACATTTAATAAATTAAGAAAGTGAAAATGAAAGAACAAGAAATCTTTTTTAACACACAACTTTCATGGAGATACATCTAGCAGAAAAATAAATAAAATCAAAATCAATGGACAAGGTAGTTACCTTGTATTATTGTTAAAAATAATGTTAAAGACATCACCTTTTTAAAGAGCGTGTTTCCTGGTCGGCTTGGCACTCCCAGCTCCAGTTTTCGCTCATTTTTTTGTGTTTGCTGGTCTTTACACTGCTCGTTCAACCATCCGTCTGCAGTTTTCTAGGAAATAGTTCTGCGCTGGTTTTTTCATCTGTTTTTTTCAGTACCCACCACTGTCTCGTCTCGACTCGTCTAGTTGCGTCTTCATAGTCTGGGCAGATGGCATGGAGTCGGCCGGCGAGCTGAGGGTCGGGATGGGGGTACTGTGAGTACTGGGAGCTGTCGGGCGGAGTGTCACACCTGTCACTTCTGTGGCTGATCACAACAACCGCCGACGAGCGTCGACGACCTCGCCCCATTATCGCGAAGGGAGGAACTCGCTGCAACAAGGTGTGAACGTCAAATAATCACCTTTGCACACGGCATGCCGACCGGTCTAGCGTCTGAATGTGGATTCCACCTTCGCCGCAGTGTTTGTTTTTCGTAAGAAAATTTTGCGCATTTTTTCGGCGTCTTTTTTCCAGGGAAATGTGTGAAATTTCAATGGAAAGACGCAGCTCCTTGTGGCTTGTGGTTCTCCCAACCGCCCGTCATCCCATGTTTGCATAATTATTTTATTGCAGCCAGACTGCAGAGGCCAAAATCCTTATGAATATTAAAACTAGAGCAGGGCGTGGGCGAGAGACTTTGTCGTCATCATTGTTGCAACTGTTTCATCCCATTTTGTAGACGAGGAAAGTGCCCCAAAGCGTTTCCACTTTTCCACCAACCCAAAAAACCATCTTGGCTGATCCCAAAAGTCTAGACAATTTCCAACCGAAAAACTTTTGTTACGTTTTCAGTTTGGCGAAAAAGGAGTTTCTGCATTACTGTAGGCACTCCTTCAATTAACGTTTTTATTATTTTTAATTAACAATTTTGTAACTTAATCCTTGCTGCAGTGTTGAAATTCTTCTCGAGTTCGCTTTCCAATGGCATAATCGAATCAGCGCCGCTTGAGCAAAGTTTGTCTAAGGACAAAAAGTTTTCCAGCTCCACCAGACATGTGCATAATTATGTTGAAACAGACGGCGGTGGGGAGCTAGGGTGGCCCAAACAAAAGGGTGGACAACTAATTGAGCGATGCTTGTGTTGTTGCAAAGAAACGAGAAATGTTTTCCAACTTACAGTAGACAACCGGCAGACAGTGCCATCGGCCGAGGGGAAAGTAGTTGGGAGTGGCTGGAGGGGCCAAATGTTGAGAATTAAGTTTGACAGACTGGAAAAATGGCAATTAGGTTGAAGATATGATTATCATACAGAAGGACAGTTAATAAAAGGGTAGTGCAAGTGGGATTAAGGGACCAAGTTCTTGGGAGATGATTGCAAAGTATTCCCCGAGTGGGAAGAGCATTTCCAAATTCAAAGGGAAAACTTTGCCAAATGCTTTCGGCACATATGAGAAAAACTTTTGTAATGTCATTAGAGGGTTTTGTACCAGAAAGGGAAGCCCTTTAACCTGTCCCGCAAAGGCCACTCTTTGGTACAATTAAAGAGTGCCTTGAAGGCTTATGGACCAACTATTTCATCAGATATTTTTGTACCAATAAATTCAATTAATTTAAAAAAGTATTTTAAATGTAGCATTTATGCACATTTAAGCTGAAGATTTCTGATTTTCCCACCTCACTTTTCCTTCCTGTAGGCGTACACCTCGACACTGCTATCGGATTCTTCTTGTATCCTTGTGAGCACTGCGCCACACTGCAGGCAAACGCTGTTGAGATCCTCGGCGCAATCGTCGCAATAGGGCAAGCCGCAGGAGTGGCAAATGGTGAAAGTGGAGTCTTCCAAGCCCTGACAGATTATGCAGTTCCGTTTGGCGCACTGAAAGTCCCGCAGCCAACCGAAGGCCCGAGGACAGGACATGCGGAGCCACATGCAGACATTAACATGCTGCTGAATGCGATGTGTGGCCAAGTTGTCCTCGGCATCGTGGACCAGGTTCTCGAGCGACTTGAGTCTACTGCGCAGAATGCGATTGTACAAAAAGAGAATGCGCTGCTTCTCGCGCTTGTAGTAGAAGAAGCTGCAGATCACACGTCGCATTCGCAGGAACGTGGTGCTCTGGTAGGCCAGCAGGACTATGGCCAGGTAGAGAAGCAGCAGCTGGTAGTAGAAGGTCCTGGGCAGGACGTGGGCATTGGGCAGGCACTCCTCGTTGGTCAGCGAAGTGGAGACCCTCTCGTGGATATTGAAATTGTGCATGGTGGTGCGCAGCAGTCTAGCCATTTGCCCCACGCCACTTATCTACAAAAAGAGTGATTACCATACAAAGTATATACATTTAATATAATTTATGTCTTACATTAAATCTCACTTCATGCTCGCCCTCCTGGTGATAGGTGATCAGCGATCGCCTTCGAATAATCTGCAGTAGTTCGATCACCATTAGGTCTATCCAAATAAATAGTCCCGCCGCGACGATTTCCAACAGGAACTGGATTAGGGTGAAGAACACAGTGGTGGACTCCTCGTGGGTGCGACTAAAGATGTGGTCCACGTCGATGTATTTGTTTTTCTCGTAGGTGCGCAGTGGCAAAATGGCATCGGTGCCTTGCTTCTTACACCGTTGGTCCACGTGCTTGAAATACTCGGTTATATAGAAGTTGTCAAACTCCACATCACCCAGATACTTTAGATAGTATCTGATGGATAAGCAGACCAACCGCAGCATGTACAAAGAGAGTATCTTCTGGATCAGACCCATAACTCTGTGGAATCTGCGACGCCGTCGCTCGAAATCTTTGGTGAAGGCCTGCGATGTTCTCTGGGCGGACTCTAATTTGCTCCTGGCTATTTCCTTGTCCCTCACCTTATAGCTGACCTCTATGAGTGAACTATTGTCAAAGAGTTCCTGCTCGGCCTTCAGTAGCTCCAAGTAGGTCTCTCCAAAGTTTGGCGGCACCACGTCGGAGGGGTCACATATCTTATCCGGATTGCCAAAGAGATCTAGCTCGCAGATGATGTCCACACGATAGGGCCAACAGATGGCCCTGCCTATCAGGGGAGGGAAATTGGTAGTGCACTTGCGATAGCCCTGCCGGAAGACCTCCACGCACACCCGATGGCCACTCTTCAGCTGGTGCTTGCAGCGGTTCCTCATGTTCCGCTGGAAACGCTCCTGAATTTCTTCCGCAGTTGGTAGCTCCTTGCCCGCTGTTTCACTTGTGTTCATCTTTCGGGTCTGCTGGTCACCGTATTTATCGTCCTCGATGTCCGAGTGTTCCACAGCGTACTTGAGATCTTCCAGGACCTCATGCAACTCCGCAAAAGTCTGGCGTATCTCCTCCACATCCCCACGCATGTGCTTCAAAGTGTTTGTAAACGGTTTGGCCATCAAATCGAACCGAGTTTTCGAGAGATTGTAAGTGAGGACAGTGGTGCAGACGAAAACCCGCGCCACTTCACCTGCATTCGACACCAGGTTGTCAATGGGTCCCGATATTATGAAGGCAAAGGCCACTGCTCGCAGATATGTCCTTCCGGATTTGCCCACCAAGGCCACGAATGTCAGCATAATTACGGTGCGAGTTGAACGGGACAGCATAAAGGCCGTTCCGGTCAGCAGGACGAACATCGCGAAGACGGAGATGTCGGTGAGTCCGTTGGCAAACAGGCGCCCCAAGTTGAAGTTCAGAGCCACCAGCTTCCAGAGGAGAAATCCCAAGACCAGGCCCCACAGGAAGGTGAGCAGGCGTCGAAGGCACCGGATCCGAGCATTATCCTGGCCCGGCGGTCTATACAACAAGCAGTACAAGGGCCGACACGGCTTTATCAGAAAGGAAAACATGCCAGACAATAAAGGCACAGCCTTTTTTTGAGGCAAAACTCGGTAAATGTCAGACAATGATTGGAATATGAAAACTAGAGCTATTCCATTCCTTACTCTTTCACAAATGCAACACGTTAGTTGAGAAGTTGAAATATATTCCAAAGATAAAAAATTATTCAAAGAAATAGTTTCGCCTATTGTTGATTTATTACCTAATAGGACTAAATAATAAACATTTTTATGTAATAGCCTATAATACAATTGAATAGATCAAAACAGCAGATAAAAAAAATAATAAAAAATTTAACAACAAATTAAATACTAATTCAAATTAATAATTTTGATACCCAAATCAGCAAACAAATTAAAGTCATGTTTGATACATTTTTTAATTGAATGAGCGCATAAAAACGTGTTTACTATCCTGTTAAGGCAACCAAATATAATTCGCCGCACTTAGGCTTTCCATTAAGCGGCTGCTCTAGTGCTGCACTTACGGAATATTAATTGGCTTTTGTCTACTTTGAAGCCTTTCAATTTTGTACTCCTAATAATAGTACCTCTGGAAAAGGGTGCCCGAGAGCTGGCCAGGACCCCCCAGACAATCGGCAGTTGGCCAGACTAGTCCAGACCACTTTTCGCTGAGTAGGAGAATGCGAGAGCATTCGGTTCATCGTTTCCCTCAACTCCAACGGGTAATCCAATTATAATGGACCTGGACGCCACCGAGCTCTGCACCTGCCTCACTTGGGGGGATTCTTCTAAAATATAAAAATTGATTACATGCGTGTCTGTCTCCTTCGGTCCGCATACACACTCGTTTTGGGCTGCGTTCGCCCATCCTGGCGGCGATTCCAAACTTGTTTGTTTTGGTTCGCGCCGGCGAGTGTTTAAAAATTTATGAACTGCAGTCAACCGGCAAAAGATGGATGGGATTGAATGCAGTCGGAGGAGGAGACACCTCCGCCGGCTCACTCCGAAATTGGTGCAGTTGCTCAATGTCGTCGCGCTCGGCGGTGTCACTCGCTGCATATTAAACAGTTTTTGAGATTCAGTCCCCCGTTCCCAGAGGCCGCACTTCATCAGCTTGGGCTTCGAGTTGGGGTTCGAGTTCGAGTGTGCTAAAAAATTGATTGATCCTGGGGTGTATAGGGCTCCTCCACTTTGACGACATCATCCGTAGACGTAGACGACGACGAGACGGGGCGTGGCCTGGTCTCAGGATGCTCGACGCACGCATTAAAACAATTTAAAATTCCCAAAGACCGAAACACCAGTCAACGCTACAGTGGGTGGCGTCGCCTAGAAATGTGGCAAAATAAGCGGGTTGGGAAGTGGTGGCCTTGATTGCATCCAAAGTAAAATGTTCCATTTGGGAAAGCTCAATTTGAGGGTAATGGTTGAGGCTAACGACATGCTGAACTGTGGGAAATATATTGAAATTTAAGGTACTTGGAGTTAGTGATATAAAACAAAAAGTACATATCGGAGATAATAATTGGTATTATTGGACTGGGAAAATTAAAAGTTTTATTTATTGAAGAATGAAAAAAAATGTGTTTTCGAGGTTGCAATGGCTAATGGGTATTTTAATTTATGACACAAATAAATCTTTAATAAACATGGTTTAAACATGTTTAACAAAAAACATCCTACCCTAAATATGTTGTTGCTATAAATCTCATTTAATTTTTAAATTTGATACTAAATTTTTAACTTTAACGAAATTAAGCTTAGAAAAATAGAAAAGATGGTAGCCTCAAGGAATGTTATTACCACAACCACTGTGACCACTTACCATGGGCGGTCGATGCTGCGTGCTGGGCAGTCTAGGACCTGCTCTTCTAAAGCTTTAAATGCATTAAATTGTCAAAGCGATAGCTATGCTAAAAGTTTGCTGGCCATAAAATTGCATGCCACAGACAAAAAAGGAGTCGGGCTGCCAGCCCATTCCTCCCAGCTCCCAGTTCCCAGCTCCCGCCGAATCGCCCTCGAATCCTGGCCCAATCCAGAACCGAAGCTGGTCAGTCAGTCAAGTCTAAAACCAAATGAATGATGAATTGCCTGTCACTTGCAATTTTTGCAGACAGACGAAAACACAGAGCGAACCGATCCCAGAGCTGGATGTTCGTCTTCGCCGGCTTGTTTAAATTTTTCATGTTTTTCCAAGCCCCCCGTTCTCGTAACATCGACTTCTGGCTCTGGGCCTGGTCCAGACATGGCTACCAAAACGTTGACATGCTGACTGCTTTCATGGAATTTGCGTTTTAAAAAGGCGGCAACGTTGACATCCTTGTCATTGTCTCTTGTCGGCCACTTTTGGTCCGAAATGTTTTGGTTTGGCTCTCGCAAAAATTCACAAATTTAATTGGGTGAGCATCTTGGAGGCAGCAGTAAAGCCAGAAAATTATGAAATATTTTCCACAAAAATATCAAGCAGGTAAAAGAAGGTCGGCTGCAAAACAGCATGTTTAAAGAAAAAACGAGATGAATTCAAACAAAAAACGTCACATTTTTAAGATAAACAGTGACTGCATTTTGGAATTAGTAGAAAATCAACAATTTTGATTTCTGCTCCTTCATATACCATTAAAGCAACAACCATAAACCTTCTTTTTATCGGTTGTAATGGCCATAAATCCGTTGGTCTATGCAAAATTAGTCCATTCGCCAGCCACAAATTGCATTCATCACAATGATAGGGAAAGAGTACAGGCATCAACTTAATGTTCATGTCCATATCGAAATGTCCAAAAATGCACTAAAAATTGATTGTTTGGCGATTTATGTTTACGGACAGTTGAGACTCGAGGATAGTTGGTGGCCGGACATCATTATGAATGCAAATAAATACGTCCGAAACGCGTGGAAAATTGTGAAACATTTTAAAATGACCGGACGGATGAATTTATGGTGCCAATCTGACTTTTACGCTTCTCGGCTGCCCTGTCAAAACCCATCAGGGTCCATCATATGCACTGGCACCGACTATCCACGCCCCCCGACATGCGTAAATTATGGCCAAAAGGGGCGGAGTGGGAAATGAGTGAAAGCTAGCGATAAGGCCCTTCCTTTACTCCGCAAAAAAAATGGGCCCGAAATATGTGTCTGCATAAATTTTCCAAATCAAAAGCGAGAACACGACTCAAATGGCTCAAAAAAGCCAAAATTAAATTAGTTAATTAATGCAACGCAACAAAAAAGTGGGCAAAAGGGGGAGAATCGGGGTCAGCCATCAATCATTGGGGCAAGGGTCGCCTCACGCGTGTGTCAAATATTTTTGGTCTACCGAGCCCGTAGATTGCTTTCGCTTTCACTCTAAAAACTCAAACTCAATCCCAACTCGAGCCCAAATCCCAAAGAGATTCCTCTTGACATTTCCAATTGCCCAGGGAAGAAATATTCACAAATTAGTTGCCCACATGTGTCAGGTAAAGGTGATTAAGCGGTTGGCCCCAGCCGAAAATTATCCATAAGCACTCTGAAAGACAAAAAAATAAACAAAAACAAAACAATAATGAAAGCCAGAGCCAAATAAATTATGCAAAGAGGCAAAGTCAAAGCCGAATGTATCAGATTTCGCGCTTTGCGGTTATAACTCAAATATTTTTCTGCCCTTTTCTCTGTTTAAGCACGCCCTAAGCCCAAAGGTAAACATCGGATTTCCATTAGCCAACAAGGGTTAAGTTGACCAAATAAAACCGAAAATTAGCAAATACACTTAAAAGTTTAGCAAGCCTGCATTTTTCGAATACTCTATACGTAAAATTGTTAGATTTACCACATGAAGAAATGGTAAATATTTTTGTAAATATATTTTTGGTTTTTGTGGCAAAAGTTTTACTGGCAATACATTTAAAGACTGATACTTTAATACACCCATCTTGGTAGAGAATGTATTTTAATTTATTGTCATTTTTGATGGACATTCCTTAAATCGTTTCTGCCATCCCCGGCGGTCATCTAACCCTTTGGGGCTTTGCATTAATTTGAACAGCCTGCTTTTTGCAGGTGTTTGGCTTTGGTCATGTGAAAATTTGCATAAAACAAAGACAGAGTTTGTTCTGCATTTTTAATTAATTAATTAAAGGCAAGTCGGTGGGCCAATAACGAGGCTATCAACAGCAACGTCATCGTCCTAATCAACGTCATTATCATGGATACTCATGCAAATATTTGTCTCCCCCAACCTTTTTAAGTTCTTCGCCTCCGCCCAGCGTGTTTGCATATGCATGAACCTAATTTTAATTAATATTTTATTATCTTAATTATGCATCGCACCTTGCCGCGTTTCCACTTCCTCTGCCAGCTGCGCCCTTTTGGCTGAGTTCTGCGTTTAGTTTTCGACCTTTTGGCTAACAAATTATAGCCATAAATAAAGTAAACGAGTTAAGAGTGGTTTTGCGTGTTCTTGAGAATGCCCATTCGCACAGACTACCTTTTTAGAGCCCCTCTCAGCAGCCCTCCTTCCTGTTTATTGTTTTGTTGCGTCTGGCTTTTTGTCTAGCCGCGGTCTGGCGCTCGGCTAATGTCATTTTTATATTGTCGCGGCCCCCATCGAAAAAAGGGTTAACATGTTCAAAAAAAATTGCGCCGAGTGCATGCCACGTTAATTTCAGCTTGATTTATTAGTTTTGTTAGCCGGTATAATTGGCTTAACGGGTTAAACGCACAAGAGCAAGTGTGGGCGTCGATTAGACAACAGATAATAGGATATTGTTCATTAGGAAATGGGTTTAAAGAGATGGTTGAAAATTCCAAAACGGCACTGGACTTAAAATCTAACATTACTTTAGATTAAAACAATTTTGATACATACGGGATAATAAAAATAAAATAACAGCCAAACCTTTGGGTGTTTTCATTATACAATAACCGATATAAAATAATTTATAACATTTTTTTTATAAATTCATTTTAACTTATATTTTTATGTTCTATTTTAAAACCTTTTAAATCAAGCCATTGACTGGAGAAATAGGAATTAAGGAAATATAAATACAAATGTATACCTACAATTTACAATTTACATAAACTTTTATAACAAAAGCTAGTAGTAGTTTGGAAGCATTACCCTTTTTTGA